TCCATCGAATATTTATCCATTGAATATTTGTCCATCGAATATTTATCCATTGAATATTTGTCCATCGAATATTTATCCATTGAACATTTATCCATCGAATATTTATCCATTGAATATTTGTCCATCGAATATTTATCCATTGAATATTTGTCCATCGAATATTTATCCATTGAACATTTATCCATCGAATATTCATCCAATGTTTTCTTTAATAAATGTAAGAAAATAAGTTTTAATATATTAGACTTTTACGATAAAATGATTCATAATTGAATGATATAATTCTTACGACAGAAATTTGTAAATAAAATGTTTAAAAAGTTTAAAAATATTGTCACGTTATTTTCAACTCATTGAAATTATTGAAAAAGGTACCTTGTGACCAGTGCTGATGATATTTATTTTGCACAAAAGTCCCCGCTATTTATTTACCCAAATGTAACTAATTATATACACAGCAATTACATACAATTAACATATGAATATTATCACCAGGCTGCGGTCTTTGTGCAAAATTAATTTTCTTAATTACGAAATTAGCTTCCTTAATTACAAAAAAAACCTAAATTATGTGCAAGCGTCTTTCCATTTTCAACGAGTATAAAGAGTTCAAAATAATGTTACAATATTCCGCCGTTTCGAAATTCCACGTTTCTCGGCGCGATCATTCCGTGTGCAAAAGTGACGGATACAGAGCTGAAATGTCGCCGGGCCTGGGCTAACTGTTCGCGCGCCCGGAGTTGATTACCTTGCGAACGTGGGAGCCGCCCGGGATAATAACGTTCCTGGACATTTCTGGCGGCCGATTTGACCGCGACATCTGACGGACCAATTTCGTTTTACAATCATTGCTCGTTTCAATCTCCGGCAGGAAATTCCGTTACGAGAAGCAACGATGTCTACAACTCCGGGAGATTGGTACACATCTGAAATGCGATTCGAGACGTGAGCACGCTAGAACAACAATTACATGTAAATAATATTATCAATAAATAAATTAAATAAATTACGAAAAATAATAGGGGAACGATCACTTTAAGATTGTACCAAATAATTTGTTTTGCAGAGACCAGTTTACTGGACACTATTAAACAAAAGTTTGTAAAAGTTGATTAAGAATAGATTATGGCTACACATACAGTTGCACAGCCTCGACGCTTGGCTGTTCCTTCGTAATTATAGCATCAATGGATAGCTAAGGTTCTTCGGATTCAAACGAGTCCAAACACGACCGAAATCGAAGTAGTTTTAGCTATATTATATACAGGGTGAACGAAATAACTTGATCGCTTCGAATATCTTATTTGTTTCAACGACAATGCGAAGAAATGTCGAAGTACAGCAGTTCAAGTTGGAAAATGATCGATTATGATCTTAAAATTATCGTTATCTAAATTTCTTTGATCCAACGTGTCATGTGGAAGTCACTGTATTATAAGACACCGGATAGATCTTGCACTCATTCATTAGTTCATAACGATAAAACTATCTACTACCATTAAAAAAACATCGATGAACATCGACATTTTTTCTTTTTATCCGAAACAAGTAAAATGTTCAAATTAATCAAGTTATTTTGTACACCCAGTATACAGCTCTTCGATAAACGTGGTCCTATTTCCGTCGTGTTTGGACTCATTTTAATCGTGAGAATCTCAGCTTTCCATCGTCATGCGAATTCAAACATTAAAACAAAAATTATTGAAAATAATAGTTTCTTTCTTGCAGATCTAGATTGTGCACCACTGAACCCGCACAATCAGCGATAATCCAAACTTATTTCTGGAACAAACTTCGTTAATAAAATCATGTGTCTCCGTCTCGGGACTATAATGTAATAGCACAAACTTGCAGCCGAGTGTTCGTTTCGTCTTGGCACGCCGATTTATTGGGAAATTTGGCCGCGGTGTCGATCCGTTGGAACATTAACTTCACGATAAAATCACGCGATGACAGATCGCGTTGAACTTCGCCTGCTTCTATTTTTCGATAACAGATAAATATCCGCGCGTGTGCTTCTCGTATCGCGTCCAAGGCGACCACTCGGGATAATTATAGCGATGCAGCTCCCTGAAACATAAAAATCGCGTGTTTAGTGTACAGAAGTGTTCAACGAGAATGTGAACGACGCATTAAGACACAACGTTTGTAATAAATCTGATCGACGACGTTACTGTCGTGCACAGTTAATTTTTCCTTCCAAGCAACGAATAAACGTACAAGAAAAAAAAATGTCGTCGATAATTGTCGCGTTACCTTTATAATTGCAGCACCAATGGATAGCTGAGAATTTTCTGATTAAAATGAGCCCAAACACGATGCAAATCGGATCAATTTAAGCCGATCTCGCATAATCGGCAATCTACAGGGTGAGTCTAGTGACATGCACGCTGCGGGTAATTGTTAAATTACGCTTATTATGAAAAATTGTTAAATACATAGTCTCAAAGGTGAATGGAGTTCTTCCTGTACGCAAAGAAGCTCCCAAGTGTCGAAGATCAAGTGATTTCAAATTATTCGACGAGAGCGAATTACGTGACTCGCCCTGTATAACAATAATCGCTCAACATGGACCGATTTCCGTCGTGTTTGGACTCATTTTAATCGCAAGAATCTCAGCTATCCACTGGTAGCACGCTTGTAAACGTAAGATTAGAATTACCGCGGATAAAAATACTTTTCTTTTCTATCCGGATTTCGTGTCGATTCGATCACTCTATAGACGATCGGAACCGAGAACGCGCGGAACAACGGTGCACAGAGTGACACGAACAGGAACGGGAGACGATGGAATTAGCATGCAGGTGCACTTTTCGTAAGAGTGAACGGAAAATTAAGCTCGTGCTTGTAGACGGGACGTGAACGGGCGGCTGCCAAGAATGCTGACATTCGTTAGCCCAAGCACGCGCTGAGAAAACATTTTCTTAATTATTATTTATCGCTCTGTTTATTATTATACCCGGGGGCTCCATGTAAATGGTCCATTAACCGTTTACGAGCCGTTAAAGTCGCGATTAATCAGCCGTGAGCTCGCGGTTGCGAAAACCGTGTAAAATTATCTCCTATGTACACCGATCCATCATCGAACAAAACTTATTGTTCGAACGATGAATTCGACGATCGATTCTCCTCGGGAGATGTTATCCTTCATTTTTATCGACTAAAACGACAGAAAGGAACCGGGCTGGTCGCCTCAAGGATTTCCAGATTCGAAGCACACTTTCTTCCCGTCGCGCCTCGGACACTGTTCGCCGCTCGCGTGGCCGTGCAGCCGGTTGCAGTCGCCCAGGGGTCGATCGATACTGCAAACAGCCCGAGGCGGCCAGATGGCTCGGCTTCTGCAGCGAGCAGCGCCGGGGTCTCGCAGGGTTAAAGGATAGAAACGCGCCGTGTATTTTCACGCGCGACCGTCTCGCGTCGATTCAATCAAGTAAACACGCCGTTTCAGTGTTGGTAGGAGTCTTTTTATTGAACCTCATTTTTCTCGTCCCGGGCACACGGGGCTCCGAGACGCTCGCCGGCCGACCGAGAGAGTTGCGCTCTAGTTTTCACAGCAATCGACCGGTGTGCGTTTATCGTTTCCTTTGGAATTCGGCGAGAGACGGAAAGCTTCGAAGGACGATCGCGTGAAGTGTCGCCGAGCTTCAATCGTAGTCCGGATTGTCCTGTTGATTATTAGTCGTCACCGCCGGTCATCACTTCCATGAACTCTGAAACAGCGCGAAACGACATTGAAAATTTTTCTGTGCGACGCTTGAAAATGTACGCCGTGTTTTATGATATTAATTTGTAATGATTAATGATTAATTCATTATATTTCTATGATAATCGTACTGTTGAAACAATAATAATTATCTATGATTATATTGCTACCACTGATAGTAATTATTTATAATAATATTAGTAATAATTATTATCGTTATCTATAACAGTATTACTAATAATATTAATAATAATATTAATGGTTATTATTGCTTCGATATATTATGAATGAAATTAATTCTTTAAGAGAATTCAATCTCTTAAATCTCTTTTTTTATATGTAGAAAATTGTGTAAAAATGTAAAAATTTTATATGTAAACATTGTAAAATTGTGAGGTACGTTTTATAGGATTATTTCTGGAGAGTATTAATTCATGAAGAAAAAGTAAAATTAATTCTCTAGTAACAAAACACAATTGGACAACAACAAAATATTATATGTAAGTAAAACGTACTAATATCTTCAATTAAGGGTAAAGAACAATACACAAAAATATTAAATACGTTTTATAGAAGACTATTATGGGGGGGGGGGGTATTATAAAAAATAATTAAATAAAAACAATTGTTCTCTAATAAAATATAATCTGACACAAACAAGGTATCTAAACAGAAGATACTATTGTCGTTAGTAACGTATAAAAAAATCAAAGCATAACATAAAAAAAATGAAGTACGTTTAATAAATAATTATTAGAGGAAGGATGGTTATAAAATTAATGGAATTTCTAAGATGAAAGTAGTGTGTTTCGAAAGGAATTCCGAGAAGCTATCTTCCACGAAAGAACCAGGAAGTATCTTGGAATTTAGCCTGAGCAGTATATCATACACACCATGAGAAGAGACGTTCAATAATAAACGAGGAAACGGAACGATTATCAGGTGGTGGTAATCGAGCCCGGTTTATAAATAGATAGAGGTCCAGGTATGGACGACCGCCTCGAGGTGCGTCGCAGCCGGAAGCGAGCAGCGAGAGCGGCGCGCACTGGCCGATATGTTGGTTCTCCGAGAACCCCGGACACGACAAGCGTTAATATTAATTAAGGAACTGATAGATTCTTGGCAAGCCGGTGTCCGCGGCCGTGTTCCCTGTAATTTTCATCGTGCAATACCAGAGAGACACCCGCGCGCGATCTGGCGTTAGTTGTTGTTGGCATAACGCGGTCTGCCACGGTAATTAATGCGATCGTCACGTGTCATGGAAATTCTAGCCTGGGCTTTTTGCTCGACGACCCCTCCCCTCCCCCCTCTCTCTCTCTCTTCTCTTTGGGAGCTTACCGTCGAAGTCAAGCGTCCCGGAGCCGTCGGCGTCAATCTCCTCGATCATCATGTCAAGCTCCTGCGGCGTCAGTTTGTCGTCCAGCTCGTGTAGAATGTCACGGAACACGGCCGTCGTGATGTAGCCGTTCCCTTCTTTGTCGTACAATCGGAAAGCTTCTCGCAATTCCTGCTGCATCGCCTCGGCGTCCTCCTCCACCAAGAATCTCGCAGCCAGCGTGCAGAACTCCTCGAACTCCAGCAAACCGGATCCTGAGGAATCGAAGAAAATTTTCGAAACTCTTAAACTTTTTTTTTAGAACGGGGATTCGAAAGTTGTTTGTGTACCCGTCACTCGATTTTTTTTCTTTTTAACGACACTCCCCCTTCTTTTGTCGTACTTTAATAACTCTACTAGTCACAGACTTCGTTGCAGAGATTATGGAATGAATGTTGTTTTTTCCGTTTCTTTCAGGAAAGAAACGTTATCAAATTCTATTTTCTTGTCACCAATATATTCAAGAGATATTTCTCTTTCTTTTTCTTCTAAGAAATTACTGCGCGGTCGAAAAAGTGTATAGAAGGAGAAAATTAGTCTTCGCGAATAAAGGGAGGGGGGGGCGGGATTCGAACCCTGGTCTCCCGCGTGCGGAGCCGCCGCCTTAACCGACTGAGCCATCCCGGCCGCCCGACGACTCAGTCTCGCTTAGTCCTTATAACGTACACTCCTCGGTTTCCTCGACTCCTACTGAGCTCCGGTATTCGAGCTCCGGTTCGACAGCGACGGTCGGTGGCCGTCTCGCTCAGTTTTTCGATGAACAGACGATTTTTTAGTTTCACCGGGGAATGGTTTGTTCAACGAATGCTCGTAATTACCATCTTCGTCGACTTCCTGAATGATCTCTTTCAGTGTCTTCTCGCTGAGCTCGTAGCCCAACATGGTCAATATCGTTCCCACCATGTCTGTGCCGATGCTGCCTTTCTTGTCGTGGTCGAACGCATCGAAGGCTTTCTTCAGCACTGTAATTAAGAAAAACAACGCCGATTAACGTTCGCGACGAGCTGCGACGACCAGTTACGTTTATAGAAGAAACTAAGGATTACGTACGAGCGATTTGGTCCTTGGTCAGATCATCCTGAAAGGATCAGAGGATCAGTATACTTTCGTGGCAATATTTGGTTAGGAAGAATTTTTGTGTCGTAAGTTTGTGTCAAGTTTTTCAAAATTGTAGTAAAGTTGTAGTTGGCGATTTGACCTGAAAATTTCTGCAACTATTTTAAATGAAATTGCAGATGTCGCGAAGTTAATTATTAGTTTTGCAAGAATTTTTTTAAACGCTCTATGTCTCGCCAAATAAATATCAATATTTCTGCAACAATTTTAGAATAAAATTTCAGGTATCAGAAAAATAATTTCAAAACTTCTGCAACAATTTTTAAATAAAATTCCAGGTATCATAAAATCGATCTCAAAACTTTTGAAACAATTTTAAATAACATTCCAGGCATCAAAAAATTAATTTTAAAACTTTTGGGATGACCATAAATATTTCACAATTTTTATGATAAAACTTTTGCAACAATTTTCAATAAAGTTTATGACAGATTTAATCTTAACAATTGATTAAAACTTTTTTAATAAAATTCCACGTGTCACGAGCTTGATCTTAAAAAATTTGCAACGATGTTTTCAAAAAATTCCATACACCACAAAACAGGTTTTGATATATTAGCAACAATTTCAAATAAAATTCCAGGTATCAGAAATTGAATTTCGAAACACTTGCAACAATTTCAAATAAAATTCCAGTTATTATAAAATTGAATTTCGAAACACATGCAACAATTTCAGATAAAATTCCAGGAAGTTGAATTCCGAAAGATTTCCAAGAATTTCAAATGAAGTTTCAGGTATCGCGAAACTGATCTCGAAACTTTCGCATCTACATTGGATAAAATTCCTGGTATCGCGAGAACGAATTAGCGAGAAATAGCAACGCGGTTCTAACAGGCGCGGCTGATAACGCACCATGGCGATGCAGTTGCAAGATGTTCAACGAAGAGTGAAGTGTTAACACGCGAGATCGTCGACGTCTTATCCGGGTATGCACAAGATTCTGGCTGTGTGCTTCTGTTTTATGTGGACATAACGATGATGTTCTGGCACGTGATTGACCGCGTATAATATCTACGTAGCGATCTCTAGCGGTTTTCAAAATTCATCGAGGACACTCCCCACTCGCGGTTTCCACGGAACAGGAGCTTCGCCGATTGTGTGAATTCCGAGGCAACGTACTCGATTTTGTAACTCTTCCTGTTGGCATCTTCATCTCTCCTCACCGTTTCCCGCAGTCTCATGCCGTTTGAAACAACGGATTACGAACTGGAGATTTTTGCAGAAATTTTCGATTTTACATCTCGGATTTTAATTGGACTTAAATTTCTTCTTTTTTTAAACGATGCAAGCTCGTATTCTTTTTAGTGTTTTATTAATATTTCTTGAAAGCTTAGTATATCTTTGAAGCTCGTTACTTTCTCGAAAGCTTATTATTTTTTTCCGAAGCTTATTATTTTATTGAAAGCTCATTGTTTCGTTTTGTTCTTGAAAACTTTATTTTATTGAAAGCTTAATATTTTAATAAAAGCTTATTGGTCTGTTCCAAGCTTATTGTTTTATTGAAAGCTCATTGTTTTATTGAAAGCTTATTATTTTATTCGAAACTTATTATTTTATTCGAAGCTTATTATTGGTTTTAAAGCTCACTATTATATTGAAAGCTTACGATCTTATTGAAAGCTCACTATTATATTGAAAGCTNTTTCGTTTTGTTCTTGAAAACTTTATTTTATTGAAAGCTTAATATTTTAATAAAAGCTTATTGGTCTGTTCCAAGCTTATTGTTTTATTGAAAGCTCATTGTTTTATTGAAAGCTTATTATTTTATTCGAAACTTATTATTTTATTCGAAGCTTATTATTGGTTTTAAAGCTCACTATTATATTGAAAGCTTACGATCTTATTGAAAGCTCACTATTATATTGAAAGCTTACGATCTTATTGAAAGCTCACTATTATATTGAAAGCTTACGATCTTATTGAAAGCTCACTATTATATTGAAAGCTTACGATCTTATTGAAAGCTCACTATTATATTGAAAGCTTACGATCTTATTGAAAGCTCACTATTATATTGAAAGCTTACGATCTTATTGAAAGCTCACTATTATATTGAAAGCTTACGATCTTATTGAAAGCTCACTATTATATTGAAAGCTTACGATCTTATTGAAAGCTCACTATTATATTGAAAGCTTACGATCTTATTGAAAGCTCACTATTATATTGAAAGCTTACGATCTTATTGAAAGCTCACTATTATATTGAAAGCTTACGATCTTATTGAAAGCTCACTATTATATTGAAAGCTTACGATCTTATTGAAAGCTCACTATTATATTGAAAGCTTACGATCTTATTGAAAGCTCACTATTATATTGAAAGCTTACGATCTTATTGAAAGCTCACTATTATATTGAAAGCTTACGATCTTATTGAAAGCTCACTATTATATTGAAAGCTTACGATCTTATTGAAAGCTCACTATTATATTGAAAGCTTACGATCTTATTGAAAGCTCACTATTATATTGAAAGCTTACGATCTTATTGAAAGCTCACTATTATATTGAAAGCTTACGATCTTATTGAAAGCTCACTATTATATTGAAAGCTTACGATCTTATTGAAAGCTCACTATTATATTGAAAGCTTACGATCTTATTGAAAGCTCACTATTATATTGAAAGCTTACGATCTTATTGAAAGCTCACTATTATATTGAAAGCTTACGATCTTATTGAAAGCTCACTATTATATTGAAAGCTTACGATCTTATTGAAAGCTCACTATTATATTGAAAGCTTACGATCTTATTGAAAGCTCACTATTATATTGAAAGCTTACGATCTTATTGAAAGCTCACTATTATATTGAAAGCTTACGATCTTATTGAAAGCTCACTATTATATTGAAAGCTTACGATCTTATTGAAAGCTCACTATTATATTGAAAGCTTACGATCTTATTGAAAGCTCACTATTATATTGAAAGCTTACGATCTTATTGAAAGCTCACTATTATATTGAAAGCTTACGATCTTATTGAAAGCTCACTATTATATTGAAAGCTTACGATCTTATTGAAAGCTCACTATTATATTGAAAGCTTACGATCTTATTGAAAGCTCACTATTATATTGAAAGCTTACGATCTTATTGNTTGAAAACTCATTATTATATTGAAAGCTCACTATTTCATTTAAAGCATACTATTATATTGAAAGCTCACTATTTCATTTAAAGCATACTATTTTATTGAAAGCTTAATATTTTATTCGGAGCTTATTATTTGATTGAAAGCTCGCTATTATATTGAAAGCTTGCCAATTTATTGAAAGCACATTATTTTATTTTAAGCTTATTATCATATTCGTAACTTATTATATTATTGCAAGCACATTAAATTATTGAAAGCTTCTTATTTGATTGAAAGCTCTGATTATTACGTTGAAAGCTTGCTATTTCATTGAAAACTTGTTATTTTACCGAAAGCTCATTATTTTATAAAAAGTTGATGATTTCATTGAAAGCTTATTATTTCATAAAAAAATCATTGTTTTCTTGAAAGCTCATTGTTTGATTAAAAATCAGAAGTTGAGTTTTCATTCATAAAACTGGAATGGTCGTTAGAGCTGACCTTGCGCACAGTGAGCAGGTACTTTTATGAGAACCTAAACATCTCCCACGCTCCAATCACGGGGTGTTTCTGCACCGAATATATCGTGGGGACAATTATCGGAAAATTACACCGTGGAATCTGGACGCATAATTGCCGAAACAATTGCTCGGCGAAGTAGCTTTGTTTCGCAAGCGTGACGGCGCAGTGGCCTGCAGCTTCCGCGACGGATCGAGAATAGATGATTCACTTGGTCACGTGTGGCGGTGAAAAAGCGGCGGTGACAATGGGCGACGAGTTAGTTGGCTCCGATCCGGACGTCTGCTGAGGTAGTATTCGGCAGAATTTCGGCGTAATAACCGTGCCCGATATATTCGATCGAATCCGTCTAATTATAAGCTCGATAAAGCCTAGCTTCGACAATTCTATTCCGTGGACGGCGAGCGCTCGGATCACAACGGATTATTAGCGCCTCGGCGGTTACAGCTGTTCGGCTGACAAGACTCGATTGCAGCGCGGACCGAACGCCGCGGTTTTAACCGTGTTTACACTAATTGTAACATTGAACTACACACGGCGACGATCATTTGTAAAACGTTGACGCCTTTTTCAGCCGTGCGCCGCGCGAGATATGCCGGTCAAATAAATCGGCAATTAATTGCGGCCGCTTCGGAACGAGTTATTATCCGGGGAACACGTTCGCCGTGACCAAAATTATTTTAGCGTTGTTGCGAAGTTCAAGGTCAGACACGAGGAGACACGGTCGTTGCTAAGTCAATATTATATATTGATATTTAAAAGATCGACGCGGCTGCGATTATTTGCAACAAGAGTTTTCTTCCTCTGATTTTATGCGTTATTAAAATTTTTAGATCGCCGATTTTTTTTAGAAAAATCAGCGTAGAAGTCAAAGTTGCAAAAAGTTGCAATTATACGTTACATGTATATGTTAACAATGGTGCACGCTTTCATATAAACGATGTCCGATGTCCGTCACTTTTAAACAATCTTTGTATAAACTTTTTCAGAGTTCGAAAATATTCAAATTCTTATGAATCGCATACGAACGAACGAAATGCAATTTTTATGCATGCAAACGTGTTGCACGCATTGCGTTTGACATTCTGTCGGGCATAATGAGAATAACTAATTTATAAATAAATAATAAGAATAAACAATTTATACGAGTTGACAAATAGACTTTTCGCTGCAAATTCACCGTTTACCAAGAGCACCGTGTTATCACGGTCAAACATCGTTTCAACTTTCTACAGTGCAAACGACATAATCGTCGGAGAAAAGAGGAGGAGGGAGGGCAGAAATAAGCGGTACAAATTATAATACATTGCATCCGATTTACGTGTCTTTAATGCACCGTCGGTGTTTTATTAGCAACGGTTCCAAACATAGTTACACAATTTACAGATATCCTAGATAGAAAAGACAGTCCACGGGGAAAGCGACGCACAACAGATTCCTTATGCAATTTTTTTTTCTTTCGTTCGCCCGTTTATTCCTTTAATTTCACTTTACTTTCACGTCGGCGTAAGCCGCGGTTTGATCGGGTTTACTTCACGAGTATTATCACTTTCGATTAGGCGGCGCGATTCACGGGCAAAGTACGAGGTTCCAGGATCCGGGACACCATTTTCTCTGATTCGAGAGAGAGAGAGGGAGAAACGGCACGCGAAAATCTGGCGAGACGTCGCGACACCGTCGGTGAACGTCGATTCGTATTCGTCGATACGAACCAGTCACCGAAGTCGCGCGATGGTACCGTTTATCAAAATGTTGGCCAAAATTCGTAATTCGCTGCGATTTTGATGAAAATCCGTATTCTCGAGGTTATGTCACGATTGAAGTGAATGCTAACAATTGAGAAATTGAAAACTTCAAATTTCAAGTTAGATATGCATTTTGGCCAGTGTTTTGCCAAAAGCGACCACTGAGAACACAATGGTCCCTTTTTTCGAATAGCTGGACAAAATTGATAAGTTCGTACAACTTTATTGGAAATTGTTATTCTTATATTTTCGACGTAAAAGAAAGTAACTGTAAAAATTATACAACAATAATCTTGTAGAAAAGGAAACAATAATTATCAGAATTAAAATCAATGTTAACAATTGAAGAAATTGAGAATTATAATTTCCAGGTAGACGTGTATTTTGGCCAGCGTATTGCGAAAAGGGACCGCTGGGAACACAGTGGTCCCATTTCTCAAATAGCTGGCCAAAATTGAAATTTCCTTACATTTCCCGAAATTTTCTTAACATTCACCAAAAATGTTCTAATATTTTTCTGCAGTTTGCTGCATCCGAGTATGTCACAGGTTTTTTGTCTCCGCTTTGTCCGGATTTTGACCAACTTTTTCCGAAAGGCCGGGCACCGCGCGTCGCCGCCAGCGTCCCGGCGCTGCGGTGCCGGTTAATTCCGGCGCCGTTCGAAATACATTTTAGCCGATTGTGACTCCGAAAGCGGCGGTCGCCGGCAGAAATACTTGCTCAGCTATACAGAGAGAGAGACGCGGACGGGCATCACCTGCGAACCTTTAACTTCATACTTTGCCAACGGCCACGTGCACCGCCGATAAATCCCAGTCTCCACGTGTAGGAGAAACAGGCGTGCCCCGTGCTCGTGGACGTGGCCGACACGAGGGACGGCGCGCAGTTCTCCGTGCCAAAAGTCGATCGTTTAGCCTGTCATGACCTCCATGAATTCTGCAACAGAGTCGGTCGGTTTCGCGTTCAGATTGTAAATGGATCCGGCCCGGAGGACGAAGAGATCCACCGTCTCTGTACTTACCTTCGAAATCCAGGGTGCCAGACCCGTCCGTGTCCACCTCCTCGATGATCATGTCGAGCTCCTCGGGCGACAACGCGTCATCCAGCTCGTGCAGGATATCCCGGAACACGTCCGTGGTGATGTAACCGTTCCCCTCCTTGTCGTACAACCGGAACGCCTCTCTTAACTCTTGCTGCATCGCCTCGGTGTCCGTGTCCTCCTCCATGAACCGGGAGGCCAGGCTGCAGAAGTCTTGGAAGTTCATCTCGCCGGAGCCTGGGCAACGTTTTCATGCTCATTTCGGTTTAACCGTGACCGGGATCGGACAAGTCGGGGAATTTGAGGGTCGGGCGATTGGACGATCAGTATTCTGATTGAATCAGGGTTAAATAATTGCAGAGTCAGAGAATTAGACGTTCATATATGCAGACAGAATGTATAGATATGCAGCCAGGTAATTATTAGTCGATCAGACACGTGGGTAATAGGAGAATCAGACAGTCAGATAATTCGAGAGTCGGGCAATTGGACGATCAGACACTGTGACAGTATTTGGGTCGGGCAATTAGACATTCAGATATGCAGACAGTAAGGGAGTTAGGTAATTATTAGTTGATCAGACACGTGGATAATTGGAGAATCAGACAATCAGAGAGTCGGGCAATTTGACGATCAGACACTCTGACAATGATGGAATCAGGGAACGAGAGAACTACGAGGTAAAACAATCACAGGGTCAGATAATTAGACATTCAAATATGCACACAATAAGGGGGTCAGGTAATCAGTCGATCAGACAAATAGATAATAAGAGAATTAGACACAGTCAGATCGTCAAAGTATTCAGTCAATCAAAGAGTCAGGCAACTAGATGTTCAGAGAGAGATATGCATAGACAGTAAGAGAGCCAGGTAATTAGTCGATTAGACATACGGATAATAAGAAAATTAGATCGTCAGACAATCAGAAAGTTCAGGCAATCAGTGGTTTAGGCAATTAGACGCTCAGACACACGATAAGAGAATCAGTCAATTATACATTCAGACACAAGATAGTAAGATAATCAGATAACTAATTAAGCGGGCACACAGATAATCAGAGAATTGGGCAGTCGGACAATCAGTCCAGTCAGGCAATTAGACAGTCAAACAGGCAGACGATAAGAGAGAACCAGAGGATCTTACAAATAAGAAATCAAACTATCAAAGGATCAGAGTGCCAGACAATAAGAGAATCTCATAATTGGTCAAAGAATCAGACAATCAGAGAATTAGGCAATGAGAGAATCAGCGAGTCACGCAGTCGAACATACAAAAGCAGTAACAGAATCAGGCAATCATACAATCAGAGAGTCAAATAATCAGACAATTAGTCAGTAAATCAGTAAATCAGAGAGTCAAGTAATCAGACAATTAATCAGTAAATCAGTAAATCAAAGAGTCAAGTAATCCAGACAATTAGTCAGTAAATCAGTAAATCAAAGAGTCAAGTAATCAGACAATTAGTCAGTAAATCAGTAAATCAGAGAGTCAAGTAATCAATTAGTCAGTAAATCAGTAAATCAGTAAATCAGTAAATCAGTAAATCAGTAAATCAGTAAATCAGTAAATCAGTAAATCAGTAAATCAGTAAATCGGTAAACCAGTGACTCGGAAAATCGATAAATCAGTAAATCAGAGGATCTGTTGAATGTCCGTCCGCAACTATCTACCGCAGCATGACTGCAACGTTTCAGTGATCATTAAAATCGCAAAGCACGATGCCAATTTAAGTAACGAGCGAGCACACGGAACCCGTGAATCGCTACGAACGTTTCTCATGTTTTTATTTTCAATTTACCTCGAACACGAACACTAATAGAATAAACACTGTCACGGCGCACGCTATTAATTAGTGTTTAATAAGCAACGCGTCTTAGAGAATTCGTATACCGTTTTCTTTTTCTTCACGCTTTCCTTCTCTAATAACGATACTATCTCGCGTACTTTCTTGTTTTCTCGGTTTCGTAACGAGAACAATTACGGTTACTGTAATTATTGAATTATCCAAGTTACACCGACTTCACGCCGGCAACAGTGTTGTCCCGTCGGCCGTGTGCAGTAGGAGAAAAAAAAAGAAAGAAAGAAACGCGTGACAGCAACGATGGAAGCGGAGAGAAAACCGCTCGCTTGCGGAACGAAAAGTATTATAATTGCCGAGCGCCGCGGTAACCGCCAGGAAATCGCCACGCCGTGTAATTGTAGCCGCGTTTCGAATATTATCGTCTTCTTGCCGCTCGGCGAAACCGTCCAGGAATCTTTCGATACACTTACCGAACGTATCGTATTCGCCGATCACCGAGTTCAGCTGCTCGGACGGGATCTTCATGCCCATCATTCCCAGAATGGTGCCGACCATGTCGTTGTGGATCATCTCCTTCTTATCGGGATCGAACGCGTCGAAGCCCATCTTGAGCTCTGCACCGGAACAATCAGTTGAAAAACTCGTCTCGTTTATCAACTTCGAAAGAATCATTTATCACCGAAATTTTTATGTCAGATAACTTAAGAACTCGTTCCTTTTTTTAATTGGCAATGTCAGACTACAGAGTGAAAGTTGTCTCGCCGCGGAAGAAACGTCGAAAATTCGATTTTCACTTTTTTTCACATTGGCGCACCAATGCGAAAAGTCTGCAAAAATTTGACAACGTTGCCTACGATGGTATCCTTCGACGGAATTAAAATGGCGGTGGTACATTTTTTTGTTTTTTGAGAGATCTGCAATTTTTTGGCTTTCTTTTGTTTTTCTATTTCTTTGTAACCATAGGACACAGCCGAAAAATCTGAAAAAATTCTGTCAAGCGCGACTCGTGATCCAAAAAGGGCCAGATTTTTTCGAAATGTTTGGACAGAATTAAAATAGTGTGATGGCAACATTTCTTTTACCGAGAGATCTGCAATTTTTAGACTTTCTTTCGCTTTTATTATTTTTTGCAACCACGGCTCGCTACCGAAAAATCTGAAAAAATTCAGCAACATGCGACTCGTGATCCAAAGTAGGCCAGATTTTTTTTCGAAACCCTTTGACAAAATTAAAATTGCAATGCAACATTTTTTGCTTTCAAGATATTTGCTCTTTGTCGCGTTTCCTCTGCTTTCTTATTTTTTTGCAACCACAGCTCGCTACCGAAAAATCTGAAAAAATTCAGCAACATGCGACTAGTGATCCGAAATAGGCCAGATTTTTTTCGAAACTTTTGAAGATTGGAAACCGACTTCCCAGCCGCCGGTGTAATACGCGTCGAGCAAAACGATGAGTGCAGATTCAGCTAGCACTGATATAAATCGAGTAACTTACGCGCAATCTGGTCCTTGCTAAGCTGGATGTCCTCCTACAAAAGACAAGGAAAAGTAGCCTTAGTGTTGGTCCACAAGCAACTACGAAAACGTCACTTTAAAAACAAAAACGAACGCGAAAATCTCGACGCGTTCTGATCGAGCGCTTTCGATTGCGAACGGGTCAGCTGAAACGCGAAAAATCGTCGTGAAACCGGTCGTGAAATAACAATATCGGAGCGGAACGACCGAATGAAAACGGCGAGTCCCGCAGTTCGCACTGGATGCTGATAATTACCATGACGATAGGGGCTTTTCGAGGGAATCACGGTATCAGCGAGGTAAACGATCGAGCGTTACGCCTTTCGGAGCAATCACGTATGAACAAGTTACTGTACCGATGAAAATGTCACACTGAGCCTTAGTAAACTAATTAGTAGTGCCGCTGGGACGCAGCCCCGCATTCTTATTAGCGTCGGCAGATAATCACCAATCATCTCGCGGCCCGAAGGCACTATAAAAAGATTCTTAATCTGGACCCTTTCATGGTACAGTTCTTTGCGAAACGTTCCATTGTCGCAACAATTGAATCATTGATACACCGCCCCGATGACGTATCGATCGGCTATTGTCTCTTATTGCGCCTCTCCAAACGCGCCGCTGCGCGCCGTCGATCAGATAAATCGCTATCCCGACTCCTAATCCAACGGAGCCGCTTTCCTTTTTTTTACTGCAAGTCACTCTCGGTCCGCTGTTCAATTCATCAGAGAATTTTTTGAAAAATTTGTACTAAAATTTGTACTTCATTATTTATTTAGATTTGAAAGTAATACGTTATAATTTTCTAATTTTATAATGTCACGCAGCTTAAATTTTCAATTTTAATTGAATTGAATGAATGCGTTTAAGTTTACACAATTTTTGAGGTTACGGCGTGACGGTCAATGTTTTGGAACACTATGCTGAACCAGTGTTGCAAAAGAAATTGATTCGGTGTATAAAACTCAATTCTGCAATTTTAACTTGATTCAATAGGATGCGTCGACTTTTGTAAAAATTTTGAGGTTATGGCTTGACAGTCAAATGGTGGAAAATTTGTTGGAATGCTATGCTGAAGCAGTGTTGAAAAAGCAGTTGATTGAGTACATAAAACTCAATTTTGAAATTTTAACTTAATTAGATAAGATGCGTCGATTTTTGTAAAAATTTTGATGTTATGGCGTGACAGTCAAGTGGTTGAAAAATTGTTGGAACGCTATGTTGAACCAGTCTTGCAAAAGCAATTGATTGTGTACATAAAACTCAATTCTGCAATTTTAACTTAATTAGATAATAATATTAAAGAAACAGTTCAACTTTTCAATCTCCATTTAATTAAATGAAATATGTTATTATTAAATTTTGAGGTTATGGTGTGACGGTCAAAGTATTGAAATATTGAAGAAACAGCTCAACTTTTCAATCTCCACTTAATTAAATGAAATATATGTTAACTTTTACAAAAAATTTTGAGGTTATGATATTATACCTGTATTGCAAAAGCAATTGATCGAATAGATAAAACTCAACTCTTCAATCTTAACTTAATTAATTAAGATGCGTCAATTGTTACAACAATTTTGAGGTTATGTCGTCCGACAGTAAAAGTTTAGAAAAATTGTTGGAACGCATTATTACGTCACTGTTGCAAAATTAATTGACGTTGTGCAGCTCAACATTTCGATCTTCATTTAATTAAATAAAACATGTCATTTCATAAAATTTTTGAGGTTATGTCGTGGCAAAGCGTGGAAAACTGCGGCCACATCGTCGAGCCGGTGCATCTCGGAAGGATCGGCGCTTCGTTCCCGTTCGCTCGGACCATCCGGGATGCCAGTTCGCTGCAAAGCGGGAAAGTCTAGAGCGCGTTACACCGGTGTTACATCATCCGGCAATGTCAAGCTCACGCGAATCCGGAACCGTGATTGGCAACGCCGCTGTAGAAAGCCGATGACGCGTCCCCGCGTATAGCCGGTCATTTCCACTAGCACGCGACACGGCCGTGCGTGAAAACGGTTATACTGATTGCGCCGGGTCCAACGTACAGCAGTTTGATATTGGCATTGCGTCCTTTTAGAGAATTGCAGTGGATTGCCAGCGGCTCGAACGCGTAAAAAAGCTCGGCTGGCAGCCGCAGCGGAGGACGGGACCGCGTGCTCGACCGACCTCCTTAGCCAATCAGATAGCGCTTCGACGTTAGAGCCGAACTACTGACCTAATCGGTAAAAATAAAACGATGCCGGAGGGCTGACCGTTGATTGTAATCAACGGAGCCCGCAGCGGCGTTTATTTTCCAAACGCGTCGGCTGACGATTACTATTCTGTCAGGATCACCTGTTAGGCCGAAGTGTTCCATTTCAATTTGGCATGATCGTAAGGAAGAAGAGGATTGTGCGAAAAAAAACTGAGCAGTCGATATCTAAATTGGTAGAAAAAGTTAAGTAATATTACCGGTGTTATTCGTTTAAAAAATCGATACCTTGGAAACTGCTGCTTTTTGCAGTAATAATAAATTATTATTATTCAATTATTATTCAATTATTATTCAAATATTATTCAATTATCATTCAAATATCATTCAATTATTATTCAATTGTCACTTAATTATCATTCAATTATCATTCAAATATCATTCAAATGTCATTCAATTATCACTCAATTATCATTCAATTATCATTCAATTATTATACAATTATTATACAATTATCCTCCAATTATTATTGAATTATTATTATCATTCAATTATTATTCAATTGTTATTATCATTCAATCATTATTATTCGATTTTTATTATTATTATTCTATTATTATTATTAAATTACTAATATTAGTATTAGTTAAATTATTGTCAATAAATCATTATATAATAATAAATCATTTTGCACAATGGATAAGAAAAGTATTCACGTCAAAGCATTCTCCTCGAGTTTTCATTCCCACTTCCCCGCCACTTTTACCCTCGTTTATATCATCAGCGCCAAGATTTCAGCACGGCGATTGTTCAACAAATATTCTTATACGTCAACAAAGGTTCTCCTCCACGAGGCCGAACCGTAGTCCAAACGAACTGCATTTTACCGCGCGAAGTCGCTTTCGTGTGGGAGGTCACGAAGCGAATGATTTATTTATAAAGCATGCCACAATAGAAGTCAAGCGAAGTATTTCTAGTGTTAAGGTCCTGAAACCGAGAACTAGAAGCAGACAAAGGCCTCGCCGCTTCTCGTCTATTTAAACCCGCTTTAGCGAAACGTCGAGGCGTCGCGAACGAATTCCTTTTCTCGTGATCATTTCCCAGAACGAATCGAATCAGTCCGTTCTCGAATCCCGTTCGTTTACCCTATCAAGGGCCGCTTCGGCTACGCTCGATCGTCGATGTTGACATTGACACGCGTACCAATGGGATGCCGGCCAGGTTAAATAAGATTTAGGTCGATCGGACAAGAACGATTTATTTCACGTTGCTAGATATACACGACAGAGGATTCTGTGTCGGCGACATTGAAACAGATCCTCGGGAAAAACCTTGCCGCTTATGAAAGGAGTCGTACAGAGCTCTTGGACACCATCATCAAACAGTGTCCTCAACCAGCTTGCCCCATGGCGTGCGGATGAAGTCCTGTAGAATTCCGTGGATCCATTTTGGAGATTCCGTATACTGTGTGCGTAAATTGAAGCTAAAATTGCTTATAGGTCCTTAGATTGTGCGATGCATATCCCGAAAGAAAAATTTCGTAGGCAGCCCGAGAGGGAGCCAAAAGAATGTAGACTTTGGTTCGAGGTCCATAGACAAGGTTAAAAGTCAGTAGATTTTGGTTTGAGGACCATAGGCAAGGTTAAGAGACCATGGATCAATGGAGGAGTCCGAAGAGATGGTGACTTTGGGAGGGACTCTTATTGGAGACTGCTATCCAAAGCAGTGGCACCTGCCACAGGCCCCTGTTCACAGTAGGGACCCTTAGCCTAAGACCCTACACTAGGTCCACAATGGGGACTCTATGCCATAGGTTAACGCCCATAGTGAGAATCTCTAGTATAGGTTGCTGACCACGATAGGTGTCCTGAACTATAGCTTGGTATCCAAAGTGGAGGCACCTATCATAGGCTGCTGCCACAGTGGGTGTTCTTATCATAGGACGCTATCCACTGGTGAGACCCTATCGCCTCAATAGGGCTGCCAGAGGTTGCTGTCCATGGCAGAGGCTCTTACCAATAGGGCTGCCACAGGGCGCTGCCCATAGGACGTTGTCCATAGGGCGTTGTCTACAGGGCGCTGTCCACAGCAGATGTCCTCACAATAAGGCACTGTCCAGAGGGCGCTATCCACAGTAGGTATCCTCACCATAGGGCGCTGTCCACTGGACGCTGTCCACAGGGCACTGTCCCCAGGGCGATATCCACTGGGCGTTATCCACAGTAGATGTCCTCACCATAGGGCGCTGTCCACAGGGCGCTATCCATAGTAGATGTCCTCACCATTGGGCGCTATCCACAGGGCACTGTCCACAGGGCGCTGTCCACAGGGCGTTATCCACAGGGCGTTATCCACAGTAGACGTCCTTACCATAGGGCGCTGTCCATAGAGCGCTGTCCACAGAGCACTGATCACAGGGCGCAGACCACAGGGCGCTGTCCACAGTAGATGTCCTCACCATAGGGCGCTGTCCGCAGTACGCTGTCCACTATTGGGACTCCCTCATCATAGGGCAGTTAGACGATGCTCTCGACGCTAGAGGCCCTTACCAATGAGGCTGCCACAGGGCACTGTCCACAGTAGGTGTCCTCACCATTGAACGCAGTCCACTGTTGGGACCCCCTCATCATAGGGCAGTTGCAGGATGCTCTCCGCGATAGAAGCCCGTACCAATAAGGCTGCCACAGGGCGCAGCCCACAATAAGATACCCTAAGCACCAGCTTCCCAATAGTCATCCACGAACCACAAGGCACGATTCCAGAAGACACTTAGACGGCACTTCTCTACAGAACTTATACTACTCGCTACTACTAAATAAACACCTAAGTCGCGCTAACCCAATTCGACCACTACTCCTCCTGCCCCGGGTCGTCTTCCCTATTCCCGACGGTCAAAGACACCGAAGGAATCCTGCTGGAAGGGTGCGGAGGTAGCGGCGGAGTCTCCAGCTCGATACCGATCTCCGCCATCCTCCACGAGACCAGCTGGGACTCGGACGGCTCCATCTCTGACATGTAGCTGTTCCAGTCGCTCTGGAGACTGACCCGGGAAATCCTGTAGTCCCTGGGTGGAGGGACGGGCGTGGGCGGCAGCGGCGTGATGTACCCGTCCTCTGACCTGGCGTTGCCCCGCTTTAAGCTTCCGCCCCTCTGCTCCTCGACGTTGACCCCCCTCGGCAGCACAATGGCGTCGACAATGTTCTTCTTCACGAGCATCACGCGCTTGCTGCCCCTGAGCAGGGACGGGTGCTTCCTGATGCTGAGGTAGGTGGCCAGGATGCCGAGCGCGAACACCATGATCACCGTCAACGCCAGCAGGAGCAGGGACCCTGGCTGGTCCCTGTTCCTGAGCCAGGCGCGCGACTCGTACGAGGGCAGCGTGGTCGCCGCCAAGCAGTTCAGCGGAGTAACGGTGTCCCCGTTATCGTTCAGCAAACAGATCGTGTAGGTGGTCTGCGGCTCGATATCCTGCACCTGATAAATGTGGCTGACGTACCTGGCACATTTGACCGTCCGCGCCGGGTCCCCGCTCTCGAACCACAGCAGCGTCAGCCGCTGCTGCCGGCTCGGCAGCTTCAGCATGATGCTCTCGTCTGTCACCGAGTTGACGGCGAAGCCCTGGAGGCGGGACTGGATCTTCAGGTCCGAGGACAACAGCTTCCGCTGGCTGGCCGAAGCCAGGAACTGCGGGATGCTGCAGTTCACGCCGATCATCTCGGCCTCCGTCGACACCTCCGCAGCAGTCTGCCCAGTCGATGATGATATTGACGTTTGCTCTGTCTCGGTGACACCCGAATCCTGCCGACAGAACACCGCAGTGTCGAAGGTCTTGCCTACGTTCTCTGACGGCGACGCGCAGGCTGGTCCGTCGGTGGCCACGTCACTGTGGTTCTTGATCGCATCCTGCATCCATTTAAGCCCGCAGTCGCAGTTCCATAGGTTACCTTTCAGCGCCATGAAGAAGGGTCTGTGGCTAGAGAGGATCCCGTCCAGCAGCCCCTGCGGCAGCGACGTGATCTGGTTGCCCGTGATGATCAGCTTCTCTATGGAGGAGGACATCGGCTTCAGCGAGTCTCGCGACAATGTCCTGATGCTGGAGTCCATCAGGTACAGCGCCTGAACCTTCGGCACACCCAGGAACGTCTCATCCGTGATCTGAGCTATTGTGTTCCTCTGAAGGGACAGGCTGAGGAGACGCCCAAGGCTCCCCGCTCCGGTGATGTTCCTCAGCACCAGCTGGTCGGCTATCGCGCCGCTCAGGTCCAGGGTGCCCAAGGTGCCTGCCACATGCTCCAGGAGGTCCCTGTCCGCTCGCTCGACGATATCGTCCTGGACGGTCAAGCTCTTCAGCCGACTCAGCGGCTGGAAGCTGGCTCTGCCTAGGCTGACGAGGTCGTTGTCCAGCAGGCTCAGCGACGTCATCGCCTTGAAAATCGGATCGGCGAACGCGTCGTCCTCTATTTTGCTGAGCGAACAGCTGTGCAGATTCAGCTCCTCGATGGACAGGTTGGTGGACAGCCAATTTTTCTGCAGCGCGTTCCCTGGGAACCTACAGTTGACCAATGACAGCCTCGCGGACTGGCTGGTATTGCACGCCGCCTGCGGAGAACACGTCCCATTGCTGACATATGTACCTGGTGTCCTGTTTTGTTTCAAACCGGGGTTTCGGAGCGGATTCTTGGGCGCTAAGATGATTCGAGTTTTTGGATTCGGGGAAGTTAGCGATCGATGTTCGGCTTTTGGGTTCGACAATGACCGGTTACCGGGGGGGGAGGGGCGCCAAACGGACACGTCTAATTTACTTCGATAATTTTGAAATTGAAGGAGCGATGATCTCGAAGTTCTCGAATCTTTTTAATCTGCCTGCTCGGTTGAGCAACGTCTAGGGTAAGTGCTGGTATTACTGCGGACGGTCCAAATACTGCGGTATTTTTATGAAAATAGTAAAATCGGACATTTTATAGCGTGCAATCTTCTGAAAATGGATCTCGTAATTTTTTGTGCGTTTAATATCGACAGTTTATGGCATGCAATTAACGGCAATCGCAGTTTCAATTTATTTATTGACTTTTGACATTCAGGAGCTTATGAGAACGTCGAGTCTTATGAAATGCTCGTAACGGCAGCTGCGAGCGCTGATTCGAATGACATTTATATTGATAATAAATATTTAATTGATAATAAACATTTCAGCGTTATTTTTAGATAAAGTAATGGTCACGTCGATAAAAATATCAACGTACACCGCAGTATCTGACACGCAGTAATCGGTACGTCCGCGGTAGTTGGCTCGCAGTAATAGGTACATAACCGCAGTAATATGTGCACGCGTATGATCACTTTTCGTTGCCTTCAAAAATCCAATATTTTGAGAGAATAAATATTCTAGTCAAAGAATAATATGTATAGCTCGAGTTGCCAATTCATAGGCGTAAAAGCTCTCAAATTCACGGTCACACCTCGCCTTCATTTTGAAACCTCACTAACACGTTCCCTAACCAATTTTGTCGTCCACTAATTCCACGTTTCAAAAGTATAATAAGCAAATTGAGAACTAATAAATATCTCTAAATATATTTCCCGTTAACGCGAATACCTTGAATTCCGTTTCTAAGAACTTCGACGCCACTGCGCCAGCATCCGACGATCCGGAGATATCGCAGTCCACGTTTGGGCACGAAGTGATTTTACAGGGAGTCGAGTCGGATTGTTGATTCTGCAAGGATGCGACGTTCTTTCGTGCGGTCGTTGTTTCGACTATCGTCGGGGTCTCCTGCGTGCTGGCGTTCATGGTTGTCGCGACGTTGCACGGTGGTACGAATTTTGTCGGTTCCGGTGGTCCTAATCGCGACCATATTAAGGTACTAATTGCTGCCATTACCAGAAGTGCCGCCAGATACCTCTGCCGTGCAACGGAACTATATTCGTCAATGCGTCAAAAATTAATTAATTTCGACATGGTGCAATGAAATAGTTCACTATGAAAATGGTGAACGAGAACGACATTAACAACATCAACATTCTCCGGTGTCAATTAATTTTAATCGAATTTAATTAATATTAATTATAATCTAATTGTGTTATATTATATTTTATATATATAAATATATATATTTTTTATATAACATTATATGTATATATTTCATATAACATTGCATAATGTTATATAATATTATATATATTTTATATAATATTGCATGATATTATATAATATTATATATATTATTTATTATATTATTATATACATATATAATATATATTATATTCGTTATATAATAATAATAATATATAATATTTTTAAATATTTTAAAATATTATATAATATTTTATATAATATTTATATTTATATATTTATATGCATATATATGTGTGTGTATGTACGTGTGTGTGCATATATATTTGCAACAATGTTATCGATTCGTGTTAATATAATTAATAACTGCAATTGGTGTTGACAATAGATTGGACGTCTTAGATCATTGAAATTAATATTCGTATCGTTAACGAAGCGTACCTTGCCACCGCGGACGTGGAATCCGGAGTCTTCGCGGTTCTTCGTGTTTCAGCAAACATGTGCGCGTCCTGTTGTCGTTCCACATGGACGGGATAGTTGCAACCATCTGGCGAACACGAACGCATAATCGATTCGCGGGAGAACGCATGTCAATCGTATCTACGCTTTCGCAGATTAACTTTATCGCCCTTGGTAATTAAATTATGGTCGATTAAGGAGGAGGGGGCAGGGGGAAAGGGGCTGAAAATCGTATACTAGTTATTTTGCAAATAAAATTTCGTGAAAATATATTTCTCTAATATATTTTACGCGGAATCGAATTGTGTAAAAATTAATTTTTCAACTTCCATTTTTTGAGTAGCATAAAAAATAGTTTTCGGGAACAAGTTTGCAATATCATAAGATTGCAATATCCATAAAGAATTTTCTTCAATATTGCGTATATAAATCATAGTAACAGTAATAATAACAATAATAATATACTAATAATAATATATAATAATATGTTATATTAATAACAATATATTATTATATATAACAATAATAATAGTAATAGTAATAACAATATATTATTATATATAACAATAATACTAATAATAATAAACATAATAAACAGCTTCAGTAAACACTTGAACCAAAAGTATTGCATTTCTGTACTCAAGGTCATTTAAAGGTCATAGTGTCATAGGTCATTAAATTCGCCTTAACATGCGCTACAACGCAGTAGCATAAACAATAGGCATCAATGCGCAAGAAACGACGACGACCTTCAAAACTCGAAACTAATGACCTTGAAAGAAAAAACCCATCGATCACAATATTCCTACCTTTGAACCAAACAAATTTGTTGGGACACATTTTTCAATATAAACAAAATTAACGAAGTTATTTGAACGGTACAGAATAAAAGAAACACCCTATATACAACTGTACCGCTAAAATCGAAATAACTCGAACAAAAATGAAGTTTTCAATCTGAAATTTTTACTGTGATTTCTGTACGTGATGTCGAAGATAATTGTGCATGGATTTTGCGATCCGATAATTCTTTCACAAATAGAATTTTTTTGTTTACTCAGAAATGGAAATTGAAAAATTAATTGGTACATAATGCGATTCCGCGTAAATAATACTATAGAAATATATTTTTTCAACACTTTTATTTGGTACATTACAAGTATTTGATTTTCAGCTGAAAGTCTCCCCCTCTCCCCCTCCCTCTCAAGGAACGGTGGGGGACTGATCGTTTCTGCGCCAATTTTATTCACAATTTTATTCACATCGATAGCTTAATTACACTCGATTGCGATGGCTACTAGTCGCTACAATAACTAACATTCTCGTCGTAAAAATCAGTTCATGATTCACAAGGCGTCCTTCGTCTTTTCCATGCACACTTCGAACGCGAGAGCCACGTCGCACGCGTCGCCGGCACCCTCGGCTGAAATGTTATTATTAATTAATTAATTAATGGTGTGCTGCTCGAACGAAGCAAATCAATCGGTTCGAATATTTTAGATATTTTACATGTATATTATTTTATTTATATTATCTTATTTACATTATTTTATTTATATTATTTTATTCATATTAATTTATTTATATTATTTTATATTTTATATTTTTGATAAATACCCACCGGTTTCCTCGCAAGCACGTACGCCTTTTATGAAATTATCTCTGTGTTCGTCCAAGGAGCCGGCGTAATCTGGCGTGGGTCGTTTGGCGAAAGTGTCTCCATCCATCTGGAAGATAAAGTAACTATGAACTACTGACCCTGACACATTATCTATCGGCGATCATTGTTAATTTCTGAGAATTCACAATTTACAGTTGGAAAGGAGTTAATTAATTGTTTAGTCGCGCGAATTATTTCAAACGCGAGCCAACAAGACTTGCTTCAATATTCAATAATTTCGTTTTCAAAAAGATTGTTCTTATTCCTCTTCAGTATAACAGAATAATTGAAAATTCAACAGCTGGATAAAGTGTTAATTATAGCGCAGAATTATCTGCATTATATTTGTTCTGCCATCAGCAAATAATAGTTAACACTTACGAAACCGTGGCGTTGCAGCAGACACGCTGAGAAGCACCCGACATTTCTGTAGTCTCCGTCGCCGTTCAAAAATTTCTCCCTCGCTTCCCCGGAATCCAAAGCATCCAGTTCCTCTAAATCATTAAAAATCCAGTATTAATTCTTCATATTATTACATGGAACATACACGCTACATATTTACTCCGTGATCCGTAACTGAGGTTACAAACTAACATAAATAATTCCCGAGACGATTTCAAGCAACTTTTTCCTTTGCGAAAATGTTCTACGAGGCTCCGTTCACGAGTTATCGACGAAAAACACTGACCAGTGAGAGCGCGACCACAGTTGGCGCCCCGCCCACGCGACCACCGCCGCGTCGAGCTTGCTGCCGCGAGGGCGGGTCGTCGCCGTGCCTGCGCGCTGATTTGCCCACGTTTTTCGCTAATATCTCGTGAACGGAGCCACGCAGAAGATTTTCGCAAAGGAAGAAGTTTCTCCAAATTAACCGAGGAATCGACTGGTACTCCCGGAGAAAGTTTCCAGCGTATTGCTCACCGACCGTCACGCCCGCATCCTTAGCGCACTCCTCGAAGATCGCGTCGCGCATCCTCCTCTCGGGACCGAAACCTCGGATGCGATGTTGCGACGACAGTTCCTGAAACAGGTCTCGATATCTTAACGCAACGATACATTTTTTTTCTTCGACATTCTTTCGTGCTCTAACGGCCGTCACATAATTATTACAATATTAAATAACACAAAAAGTATCGCGTATAATAAATACACGTTAAATATACGTATATTAAAAATAACACAAATCGTACATAACACAAGAAGAGACAAAGAAGAATGGACAGGTACTTCATGGTGGCAATTTTCGAAGCTCCTCTGTCGTTGGAATCGGCACTAATATCGAGCGTGATCGCGCGACCGTAAATTTATACCTTCCACGTCAAACTCTGGTACTGTTATTTTCGACCGAGATACGCGACAGAGAAACAATCGGTGTAGTTAAAGATTCCTATCAGCGGAAATAATAGCCGGCTTACTGTTCTCGTTATGCATTGTCGGGACCTATTCCGGGGCATTCCCGGCGATGATTAACGCCGAGTTTTTGTTACCGCGATCAGATAATAACGATAACGACCGAAGGCTTTACGTAATACCAAGCGCAGGAAAATCGTTTTTAAATGATCCAAGTAATGTCTTTAACGTCGCCGATTCACCTATACTGTTATAAGAGTGTAACAAAATTCGAACAAAATTCGTGTCTGACACGTTACNATCAGCAAATAATAGTTAACACTTACGAAACCGTGGCGTTGCAGCAGACACGCTGAGAAGCACCCGACATTTCTGTAGTCTCCGTCGCCGTTCAAAAATTTCTCCCTCGCTTCCCCGGAATCCAAAGCATCCAGTTCCTCTAAATCATTAAAAATCCAGTATTAATTCTTCATATTATTACATGGAACATACACGCTACATATTTACTCCGTGATCCGTAACTGAGGTTACAAACTAACATAAATAATTCCCGAGACGATTTCAAGCAACTTTTTCCTTTGCGAAAATGTTCTACGAGGCTCCGTTCACGAGTTATCGACGAAAAACACTGACCAGTGAGAGCGCGACCACAGTTGGCGCCCCGCCCACGCGACCACCGCCGCGTCGAGCTTGCTGCCGCGAGGGCGGGTCGTCGCCGTGCCTGCGCGCTGATTTGCCCACGTTTTTCGCTAATATCTCGTGAACGGAGCCACGCAGAAGATTTTCGCAAAGGAAGAAGTTTCTCCAAATTAACCGAGGAATCGACTGGTACTCCCGGAGAAAGTTTCCAGCGTATTGCTCACCGACCGTCACGCCCGCATCCTTAGCGCACTCCTCGAAGATCGCGTCGCGCATCCTCCTCTCGGGACCGAAACCTCGGATGCGATGTTGCGACGACAGTTCCTGAAACAGGTCTCGATATCTTAACGCAACGATACATTTTTTTTCTTCGACATTCTTTCGTGCTCTAACGGCCGTCACATAATTATTACAATATTAAATAACACAAAAAGTATCGCGTATAATAAATACACGTTAAATATACGTATATTAAAAATAACACAAATCGTACATAACACAAGAAGAGACAAAGAAGAATGGACAGGTACTTCATGGTGGCAATTTTCGAAGCTCCTCTGTCGTTGGAATCGGCACTAATATCGAGCGTGATCGCGCGACCGTAAATTTATACCTTCCACGTCAAACTCTGGTACTGTTATTTTCGACCGAGATACGCGACAGAGAAACAATCGGTGTAGTTAAAGATTCCTATCAGCGGAAATAATAGCCGGCTTACTGTTCTCGTTATGCATTGTCGGGACCTATTCCGGGGCATTCCCGGCGATGATTAACGCCGAGTTTTTGTTACCGCGATCAGATAATAACGATAACGACCGAAGGCTTTACGTAATACCAAGCGCAGGAAAATCGTTTTTAAATGATCCAAGTAATGTCTTTAACGTCGCCGATTCACCTATACTGTTATAAGAGTGTAACAAAATTCGAACAAAATTCGTGTCTGACACGTTACAGTAAATAGTCTCTAATTGACGCCAACAATTATGTATATAATTAATACTATATAATTATATAATATATTAATAATGATTTAATATAATATAAAAATAATATTATACAATTATATGATTAATTATATATTAATGTATATAATATATATGATAATATATATAATTAATATTGTATAATTATATAGTACATTAATAATAATATAATATAAAATATATAATAATAATAAAATATGATATAATATAAAAATAATATTATATAATTATTCAATTAATTACATAAAATTAATTTACTGTACAGTGAATTCTTTGATATAGTCTGTATTAATTTATAAGACAGAAATAATTGGAACTCGAATTCCGAAGATCTTTGGTCAAAATTAATAGCACCGTACAATTTATCATGTACTGATTACCATTCCGTGATTATACAGGACCTAAGAAAACGCATTAACGACTGTACAATGGCAGATATATTTTCACTGGAGGATCGATATTTTCAGGCGGACTTACGCGTACAAGTCAGATCATATAAAAATCACTATTAAATCTAGCGCAACGTACAAAACATCGCAGTTTTTGTCAAAGGCTTTTACAATGTTCGGAGAAACGTCGACGACCTTAAATACAGACGTAAATGAGTGGACTGACGGATCTTCGAACGATCCTAAAATTGAAAATAATACTTCTCGAGTTTCGTTTGAAATTCGACACGTTATCGGTCGCGGATGCGCACGATCCGCAAGTCCACCGACACGGAATAATTGCGCGTCGGTTAATACGAGTACGTTGAACAGTTGTTCACGCGCATTTGCAGATGTTGCGCAACGAGACATTCTCCCGGTCTCTCCTGACCTCCTCCTCGACCGTGTTCGCCAGGGGTCTGCCGCGGGTTTCCGGCAATATTAAGCACAGGAGGCCGGCTATTAGGGTGAAAACGCCGCAAAGAGTGGTGGGCCCCCACCACAGGACGGCGCCCAACAGCTCGGCCACATAAGGCGCGGCTATGCTTCCGACGTGCGACATCGCTGAATTCGTTCCGACCGCGGAATTTCGGCACACCTGTAACGGAAACCGTAACGGTCGTAAAAGCTGCCCGTTTCGCCGTTAATCTGTGGTTAATCTGTGGTCAAACATTTTCTTTTAAATTATTAATTTAATTATTAATTTTTAAATGTTAATTTCAATAATAAACTATTAATTTGATTTTTACACATTTACGAGAAATATCGTCGCATAATGCAGGCCTAAAGAGGGCCTAGCTTGCCGCGAAGATTTAACCCTGATTTGACGCAAAAATTAACCTAGATGTTATTTTACTTATTTTCCAATTGTTTATCGTCACGGATATCTTTCTTAAAAGCCTTCTAAAATTTGTACGCGGCTCTAGAGGAAATCGGAGCGATATATAGCCTAAATCTAACCTAGATTTAACCTAGATTTAATCTAGATTTTTAACTACAGATTTAACTTAAACCTAAAAGAGACCCGAATAACTCGCACGATTTTGACGATAGAGAAAAAAGTGTCAGACAAACGTTGTTTTATTTCAAGAGGCACATCACACGATGTAAATAATTTTTTCATAGTCGAAGGCGTAGAGGACATGTGAAGGTCAAACTTGTTTTTTTAAATGACATGACCTAATTTTGTATTCATATTCCGATAGAGCCTTTCAAGACCAATATAGTGGCCTATGCATGAAGGTAATTCGAGGTCACAGCATATGAAGTACAATGAAAAAAAAATTCTGAGTTACACCGAGGCAAGTTAATTTAGCAATTGGCGGACTTCTGAAAGTAAATAACGAAAACGTAATACCTAATACCTATACCGAAAACCTTCAGAACCTTCAGTAACCGTTCCCGATAATTTGCGAACGTTGTTTGGATAAGATAAATCTGTTAGTTCTAAGTTAGGTCTATGTTAATTCTATGTTAGGTCTATATCAGGTCTAGGTTAGGTTTAGGTTAGGTAAGTCTATGTGAGGTCTAGGTTAGGTCTAAGTTAGGTCTAGATTAGGTCCAAGTTAAGTCTGAGTTACAGTAGCCTCCATCAAATTGACTTTCGCGAAGCCCTGAATTAATTACCGTGGGAAAAAGTTCGGAGCTATACAGGATAGCAATTCCATAGGCGGCGGACGCGCAGAACCGTCCGATCAGAGACACGGTCATGATGGCGTTCACCTCTGCCGTCGATATCGCCAGGATGCTGAGCAAACAAATGGCTGCGATGATGTATAAATATCCGCATCCCGGACGCCGTCCCATGAGCATCAATATGGGAGTGGGTATCAGGTACGCCGGTATTTCGGTCAGCCCCATGACGAGAACGGAGATGTACTTGTTCGTGGAGAAATTGTTCAGATTCAACGCTGCAACACGAATAGTCTCGTTAAAGCGAGAAAAAGAAGAGAGCGCGCGCGCGCGTGCGCAATGAATGAAAACCGATGAAACTTTTAGTACCGAGCGCATAATAGGAGAGCGAGGCAGTCATCCAGTTGAAGTTCGTGATAATTAGTCTGTTCCGTAATTCGCCGTTACATAGAAGCACGCGAAAGCCTTCAATATTTTTTCCCAGTCGTTCCTTGTCGGAGTCCTGGCTACCCCTGATCGAGCTCCTCGAATCTTTCAAATCCTGTCTCTGCATCGACAAAGATGTCTCTAGCGTCGCAGACTCGACGGACGATCTTTTGCTCGCTTTCTCGATCAGATTCTTCGCCTCGCTGCGACGATTCTGCGTTATCAGCCATCTGGGCGACTCTGGCATGATCCTGGAAAATAATGACGACGTTGGACATTAGGCTGGGGATAAAGAGGAGAGGAGGTCTCGCGGTCTCAGTTCTCCCCACTCTCAGTTCTCTCCACTCTCAGTGCTCCCCACTCTTTACGCTCCCCACCCGCAGTTCTCCCCACTCTTAATGCTCCCCACTCTCAGTGCTCCCCACTCTTTACGCTCCCCACTCGCAGTTCTCCCCACTCTCTTAATGCTCCCCACTCTCAGTTCTTCCCACTCCTTATGCTCCCCACTCGCAGTTCTCCCCACTCCTTACGCTCTCCACTCGCAGTTCTCCCCACTCCTTACGCTCCCTACTCACAGTTCTCCCCACTCCTGATGCTTCCCACTCTCAGTCCCCGCCACTCTCAGCTCTCCCCACTCTCATCCAATTGCTCTCGCAAGCCGACCAACATAAATATAAAAAGTCCAGATCCCGGCATACTTTCTTACTGCTGAATAACTTGGCACGATAAATGACTTTTTAATAGACCAAACGGTCGGACGAAAATACGAGAAGCCGAGATAATTGAAAAATTCCAGCCGAATATTTACAACGTCGGAAAATCTTCCGTAATGCGCGACGTAAAAATCAACGCGTTATTAGCGCTCGTTATTCGCCGGCTGGGTCGTTAATCGGCAGAGTGAAATTCTATTTAAATTCCTGCGCGGAATATTGGATTGCGCGAACGCGAAAACGATTCAAGAGCGGATGCCTGATTGAAACGATTCGTTGAATCGTTTAAGGGCTTACCACAGCGGTATCAGCAGCAACAGCGCCGGCAAGGAAATCGCCAATTGCAACCATCGCCAGCTGACTATGAAATAAGCGACGCCCGCTACGATCACGATTCCACTGGCGTAGCCTATGTTGTAAGCGATGCCCATCCATTGTCTGTGCTTCTCGCTGGCGACTTCTGTAACTGCGGGGAGAGAATTCGGATTATCGGCCGGAAGATGCGGCAGAACTTCGATGTTAGTATTTTAGTATTTTAGTATTTTAGTATTTTAGTATTTTAGTATTTTAGTATTTTAGTATTTTAGTATTTTAGTATTTTAGTATTTTAGTATTTTAGTATTTTAGTATTTTAGTATTTTAGTATTTTAGTATTTTAGTATTTTAGTATTTTAGTATTTTAGTATTTTAGTATTTTAGTATTTTAGTATTTTAGTATTTTAGTATTTTAGTATTTTAGTATTTTAGTATTTTAGTATTTTAGTATTTTAGTATTTTAGTATTTTAGTATTTTAGTATTTTAGTATTTTAGTATTTTAGTATTTTAGTATTTTAGTATTTTAGTATTTTAGTATTTTAGTATTTTAGTATTTTAGTATTTTAGTATTTTAGTATTTTAGTATTTTAGTATTTTAGTATTTTAGTATTTNTCGATTTTAGTATTTTAGTATTTTAGTATTTTAGTATTTTAGTATTTTAGTATTTTAGTATTTTAGTATTTTAGTATTTTAGTATTTTTTTAGTATTTTACGTATTACGTTAATTGTATCACATAAGAATTGCATATATTGTATCGTAAAACGTGTTAAAAAGTTATTAACAAGGCTCGCGTTAATTTCTACAATAGTATCGCCGTAAAATAAAAATTTGTCAGCCAAAAAATGTGTATATTAGAAATAAAAAAATATAATAGAAATGACGAGATTCAAACCGTGGACCTTCAGCATCGTAGGGACACGCTTTCCAGCGTTACCAAGACGACTTGGCTGTATTAAATATTCATTTCTGAAAAGGAATGTTCAACGCCAATAGATCTACTTTCAAGTATAATGAAGAAACCGTCGTAAACCCTACGTTAATAATGCATCACAAATTCATAGCGTACACAGCTGATCCGACAACGTATATCAACGTTCGCATAATAGACGCTGAGTGGTTATTTCAACGTCGGACAAACGTGAGTCATAACTTACGTGTCGTAAACGCCGAATACTGGATCGCTGCGTGGCTGGCTCCATTAAAGAGCCGTGAGATCATGAAAGCCCAGTACCACGGGACGAGAGCGCCGGCCGGGCCGGATATTATTAATAATATTACGCCAATAACGTAGCTGATCTTGCGGCCATACTTGTCGGCGAAAGTACCGAAAACGGCGCTGCCCAACAGCTTCCCGAGGGACAGTATCATGTGGGCGCTCGCGCGAGCTGCGCTCTTGTCGCATACCAAGGCCCACTGAAATAGCAACGACATTGTAAATCTCACAAATACACGGTGCAAAAACTATTTCTCTTGTCAGAAAATGTGCAACGGTTACAGTAGTGCTCGCTCGAAAGCAGAGAAATAGAGATACCTCGAGTATATATGAAAAAAATAATCAAAATGAAACTTTCAAATTTGGTAATATTATCTTTTCGAAAGTAGTGCCAACGGATTGCTGAGATTTTTCTGATTCAAACAAGTCCAAACACGACGGAAATCGGACCACGGACAGCTGGTTACCGTATACTCGGTGAACGAAATACCATGATCTTTTTGGGAAATTTTTGATTACGTTGAAATCTAAAACAGTGAAAATTGACGCGATATATGTCGTGTTTGGACTCGTTTTAATCGGAAAAATCTCAGCTATCCGTTGGCACTGGAACTACGAAGCTGCGACAACAATTGTTGTCAATGGAATTTTGTTTATTGCAAAAAGTTGAGTCAATCCGTGCTTACTTCTTCGACGAACGTGGTCCGATCAATTGCGGTCTCAAAGCTTATTCCCAGTGGGCAAGCTATCTCGTCTGGCAACTCATGATGATCCTTGTATTCTAAAGCTTCCTCGAATGTTTTGTTATCGAAGATCCGATAATCATAGTTATACATGGTACACGGCGAGGCGGAGGAAATGTTCCTTTCTTGCTCGTTCGTCCAAGATACGTTTAGCTCCGGGAGTTTGCACCAATGGTCGGGAACCTACGTGTTTCACGGTCATCTGTTAATCGTTTATGCTAATTACGCTTATTACAATAGATATATTATATCAATCTTATATTATATTTCTCAAATACGACCAAGCTACTTCGAAGCTTTTGCAAAATGGATTTCTGAGAGGAACAAGCTTAATGCTTCGTTCCATCGTTGAGAAACGTAGCAATTTACTGTCAGCAGATAAACAAATAAATGGAAAAACCAGTTACAGGATAAAACACTTTTCTTGATTTGTTGTTCCAGGCTCCGATCAAAAGAATTAAAAAAGTTTTTTATTTGACTGCTACTAATTCTTTCGCTCCTATTAATTGCAATTTTTCATAAAAATTTGTTACACATTGTTTATTGAGCCAGCAGTCATTCGGTCCGATATCGTCAAAGTTATTTCGCTTCGAAAGACGCACGACTACCGCTTGTTAGCGCGGCTTTCCGTGCCTCGTTCGCCGAGTGTTTATCAAGCGAACAATTTATCGAAGGACGACGGCTCACCTCGGCGATAAAAATGTACGACATCGAGTACATTCCGTTGAATATCGTCGGAATTAGCGTGAAGATGAAGATCATCCACAGAAACTGCGACCCATTGCCAAGCTTGTCAAGCTCCATCAACAGAGGATCCGTGACCTTCGATTTCGCTGCGCCGTCAGCCGGATCCGACATGTCGCCTTCTGTTTACATCGCGCGGATAAACAACGCGCGTAACCGGATCCGCTCGAATAATAACACGTCGACCGAAAACGTTCGACACGAAGACACTTCAATAAAAAAAAAAGTACTCAAACGAAATTACGACTAGCGCCTGTTTACTCACCGATTATCAGCTTCTAGATCGATGTCACAAATCCGATAAAAACAATCGACGAATCTCGATCGACCATCCGGCTGCCAACTTATCTAGCAACCATTTTTCGCTGCCTCGTGTAAAAATAATTCGTAATGAATAAATAAAAACAGAGTTCCAACAAAAATTATTTACTAAAATTTAATATCTAACTCAAACACACTCGCGAATATACGTGCCAAAAGGTAACGCAAAAAGTGTAACAGTTCCTTTAAACAAAATTCCTAAAAACCGTTTAAAAAATAACATTCGATATCATCGCAATTATTCCGTTAAATTGTTGTCTTCGAAAACATTTTATTCTCATTTATTGTTGCGACGTGGACAGGTTCGATGGTTCCGATAAATTCGTCGGTGCACTTTTCAATAAACTGCGATTTTTTATGCTGAATAAATATTGTCCGATCGAAGGACACAGAGGCTGCGAAGACGTTCGATCATTTTAATAAGTTGCGATATTCGCAACGGTATTTTTCGACGCCTCGAAAAAGTTCTCGCTGTTTTTTAATTAACTAATTAACGACATAAGTGCACAGAATCCATGGTCTACTTATCAACGTACACCCCTCCGTGGCACCTACACTGTTCTTCTTACCGACGCGACGCGTTCTCGCCGTAGCCGAAACTGGATCCGTCGGTAACGAACTCGACGCGTCGCTGTGCCGTGCAACGTTTCCCTCGACGAATTCGGCGCTATCTTATCCAAACGACTGGACGACGATCTCCGGTTACCGCTGTCATATATCTAGATAAAGCGATTGTCTGATCAGGCAGCGTCACAGGAGGCCGACGATCATCGCATCAGTAAGCTAAGCATCCGTTTACCCCCTCCACTGCACCCTATCGTCATTGCTGAATGAACTATAGTACGAGATTTCGTTCGAAATTTACGAGCGTAATTTTACCGGACAGTTGAACTATATTTATCTATATTATGCTCACGATATAATAAAAGAGAGAAGAAATATTGAGACAATTTTCATTATTTTTAATCCAGTTTCAAAAAAATAATTGCATCGACTGTACGAAATTATTTCTTTCTTCTTTTTTTTTAACAATATCTCACTTTTCATTGTTCACAATATTTATTATTATATGCAACAAGTTTCGTTGATGTTAGTTACAAAAAATTGCTCGTTCTCTTAAACATTTAAAGTAAAGTAAGAAATAATAATGTGGCGTTATTAATAGATTTATATTAATAATAAATAACTGCATCTGAAACGTTTGAACAATTTATTGAATATTTATTGTTATCTCTAAAAGCGTCTATAAAATGTTGAAATATAAATCCCGAAGAATAAATTTTTCTAATTATTTTCACACCAGTATTTTGTTGTCCCGATATTTGTTTATACGCATATGACGCATACGAAATTAAATTAGATTAAATTTCGAACAATTCAAGAGTCATGTATCTGAAAAATGTTTCAGTTTGTCGACGATATACTTTTCTCGATTTTGTGAAATACGACACCGTTACACCGTTACACCGTTACACAACACCGAACGACGTTCGCACGCGCGCGCGCGTCACAGAGGCGCGCGAGGACCGCGGACGGCGGACTCCAATTTCTACCCGAGGCCACTCGGTGCGTTCCTACGACACTGAAACAATTATCGGAGCCGTCCGATGCATTTGCGCGCGGCTTATCGCGACCAGAATGCTCAACGCTATCAAGTTTCTCTTGCCCGTAAGCAGACCAGCGATCTGTCAATTAACGCTCGCCGTTATCTCGCCGATAAAGAGAGAGAGAGAGAGAGAGAGAGAGAGAGAGAGAGAGAGAGAGAAAGAATCGCTTGAAGCGCGATAATTGCGAGACAAGCATCTGCCGGAATTTAAAGGACCGTTCTCGAATTGTTTTCAACCTGTCAGTCGATAAATATTTTTGCAAATGTTGCTCGCTACGATCATTTATCTGCTGGTTTACGGTACAAAAATTAATTACTCGATCGGCAGTGGGTTAATGGAACGCATGGCTGTTAATTTTTTTTTGTCTAATATTTTGGAAAATGTTTACTCGCCAAAATCTGTGTTACACGACAGGATCGAAATATTCATAGTTTATTTTACCATTTCGAAAATTGATTTCTTCCGACCCTGCTTTAGAGTTAATATTAATATTGATATTAATGATGATAAAATAATAATATTAGTAATAATAATAATAATAATGGTGATAGTAATAATAATAATAGTGATAATAATATATATAATAATAATAATAATAATATTTTTATTTATTGATGAGATAAACCAATTGTTAAACAATAGCACTGTCATCCGATAACAATCTGTAGCAGAAGAAAGGCATGTATTAAAAATAAGAGAATGTAATAGAAACGATAAGACTTGAACTCTGGACTTTACAACACCACAGGTGTAACGCTTTACAGCGTTGCCAAGTCGTCGACTCGAAATATCATTCCTCATTATTGTATGAAAGTTATACTCCATTATATTATTATTTAGATTAAAATCACTAAATATCCAAGTACTATATTATTGTTAACCTTATGTAGTGACGGTAATCGTAATTTAAACAAAAGTATTTTTACAATAGTTTTTGCAGTAGCTTTTTTTGCAAAGCATTTTTACAAATATGGTAAAAATTCGCTGGCAAAGGAACATATATATTAAAAATAAAAGACTAATTAAAAATGACGAGATTTGAACCGTGGACCTTCATCAGCACCGTAGGAACGCGCTTTCCAGCGTTGCCAAGTCGTCTTCTGAAAATGTCGCAGCATAGACAAATTTTGGATGAAAATTGGCCAACTTTGATCAACGATAACTCCGCGAAAAATCATCGCAGAATGATCGTTCTTTTTTTAAATTAAAGCTTGAATTCTTTAGTTTCAGATACAATTTCTGGATTTTTAATTTGATGCACCCTTGCCACTGTAACCCTTTAAAATCGAGGCCATGTTCGTCACACTAAAAATTGCCAAGTTCGACGAAATGCACAGGCTTTGCAAAATTTTTTCTAGAGTTGCTGTTCACAGTGAAATAAAGTTTAACTCTTCCTCTTTAATATAAAAAAACTAAACATAGCTGCGATTTTTTTTCGTAAAGTTACAGCACTTTAAAGAGCCTGTTACATTTATACTCCGTTATTATTATTATTATTACAGGATCAAAGTCGCTAAAAATCCCTATATTATTGTTAATTTTATGAATTTGCTGAATTTAGACGTGTGTCGAATTGTTTAAATTTGCAATCATTGAAAAAAATCGCGATAAATCCGAATACTTATGTTATTATTAATTTTACGAGGCGACGTAAATTTTAGTGCGCTGCTCAGCCAGCGTTACAGTGACAGTTACGATTTATTTGCAGCATAGAAATCGTTCGCATTATTTCCAGAATTGATACTGTTACTGTCTACAATATTGTAACGCTAGATCCAGATTGTAGATCTGCAACACCGTTTTAATGCCGGCATTTATGACGCCGTAAAACCAGTTGCAAAAATACAGATAAACGTAATTCGTGCAAGCAGTTTCTTATCGTCAATCGTTGCAAAACTATGCAGTTTTATTGTTCGGGATCGTTAAGCTCGATATTAAACCGCGATGCAAATGATCGAGTGCGTTTTATCTGATACACGTAATGAAATCACTCCGATTCCGAGGATCGTGAAAGTCCGCGAGAGATTGGTGGGACGATTAATGGATGATTAATGAACACACGTGGCACGTTTTATCTCGACGCTGTGTTGAAAATGATTGTACTATATTTTTTGTTGCAAGCGATACAGGGAGTCCGGTTCTATCTATTTTTTATAAATCTCATTCGACAGCGCGAAATTAACGAAACCGCGTTGTCCGCGTTCCGTTAATTTTTACAGAATCAATTCACGGTAATTGGATGAACGAGCATATTCTCGGAATGTTCCACGTGATGAGATTAAACATTGTCGAAGACTTTAATTAAACATTGTCGAAGAGTTTAATTAAAAATTATCACGAACATTAATTAATAATTGTCGAAGTGTTTAATTAAAAACTGTCGAAATGTTGAGTTAAGAATTGTCCATGTCTTTGATTAAACATTGTCAAACTCTTTAATTAAACATTGTTGAAGCCCTTAATAACAATTGTTAAAGACTTCAATTAAAAGTTATCAATATCTTTGAAAGCTTGTGTATGTATTTAATTAAAAATTGTCGAAAGCTTTAATTAAAAATTGTCAACGTCTATAATTAAAAATTGTCGAAAGCTTTAATTAAAAATTGTCGAAAGCTTTAATTAAAAATTGTCAAAAGCTTTGATTAAAAATTGTCGAAAGCTTTAATCACAAATTGTCAACGTCTATAATTAAAATTTATCGAAAGCTCTACTTAAAAATTGTCAAAAGCTTTGATTAAAAATTGTCGAAACGTTTCATTAAAACTTGTCAGTGTCTTTGTTTAAACATTGTCAAAGTTTTCAATTTAAAAATTGTTGAAGTCCTTAATAAATATTGTCAAAGACCTCAAAAAATTTGATTAAAAAATGTCGAAGTGTTTAATTAAAAAATTGTCAGAAACTTTGATTAAAAATCTTTAATTAAAAGTCTTTAATTAAAAGGTTCTAGATAGTCAGAAACTCGACAATGTCTCCAATTAAAAATTATTAGAGCGTCTGACTAAAAAAATTGCCAAAATCTTCAATTAGAAATTGCCACGAGCAACATTCACTCTTGTTTAAATAGTCTAAGGTCATTCCATTACAAATATTTCGTATTGACTACTGTAAGCCTTTACTAAGACACAACAATATTATTTTCGGACAGATATCAGTCTCACGGTATTATTCAATTAAACATTCTATTATTCCTTCTGCTAAAACCCTAGTCAGACGTTACGTCAAACTTGTACATCGCAAAGCCGGGTAACGATAAACCTTATCAACCGTTGGCAGTCGTGTTTTACTTTTATATAACGAGCGACTCGAAAGTCCATGTTATCGCGCGTCCATCGAAACGAAATTTTCCGTTCGGCTTAAATATGGTCCACCCCTTTGTGTATGAAAATAAAGTCTCCGCGATACTTCGACTATCTTTGAAAAATGTAACTCGGCAGACTGGTTTCCTGCTGCACGGACTACATATTCGTCGGCCTTTCTTGCTATTTGTGGACACGTACTCTTCGCACCATTGGCACGTTGTAAACCAAGTAGAAAAAGGAATCCAGTATGTGATTCATGGACCGTAGCCAGGCGTCGATACTGTAATTAATTTCCTTCGTGATCGAATAGCTCTCCTTTCGTACGTCTGTGTCACTGCTGAAATTAAACGTGACGCTGTGAATTAGTCGATCACTCTGTATATTGTTTTAATTTATATTATTTTCGAGTCATGTTAATTTAATTTATATTATTGTCGAGGTAGATTATTTCAATTCATATTATTTTCAAGATTACTTATTTTAAGTCACATTATTTTCAAGTTAAATTATTTTAATTTATAATATTTTCAAGTTAAATTATTTTAATTCATATTATTCTCAGATTATATTATTTTAATTCATATTATTTTTAAGTTAAATTATTTTAATTCATATTATTTTTAAGTTAAATTATTTTAATTTATAATATTCTCAAAAAAAATTCAATTATATTAATTAATATTATTTTCGAATT